CCGGCGGGGACACGGAAGACACGGCCACGGCTTGCTGCGCTCCTGTCAAAGCAGAGGGGAAAGGTGCTGGTGGGCACACATGGGAGGGTACCGGGAGCAAGCTGGACTTGGCAAAGGGATCCCGGAGAGCACAGAGAACACGGTGGGATTCGCTCAGTGCTGTTACACCGGTCAGCCACACGAAAAATTACTGCAGCTTTTCACATGGAGTGTTGCTCTGGGATAGCTTTTACCCCTTGGATGCTCCCAGAGCCGCACTGAGCTCAGCAAGAGCAGGAGATGGAACAGTGGGAGGTGTTCACACCATGCAAATGGCAACAACCACTGCCCTGAGCCACCTGAGCAGCCAGGAGTGCAAAGCACTTCAGATTTGCCACAATGCACAGGGTGGGATTCTTGGGGTTGTGCAGGAACAGGAGATGGGCTCAGTGATTCCTGTGGGTACCTTCCAACTCTGTATTTTATGATTCTCAGTAGCGCTTGAGCATCCTGACATCCCTGAATGCTACACCTGCACTGCTAAAACCCTGCCTGGTGGTTTAACATAAAGGGGGACAAACCTACTACCCAATAACCAAAGCAGCAATCCTCCTTCTATGTTTCAACATCCTTTGATAAAAAGATACATCATCATTAATTTCTCTGAGCTTGGATAGATTTATAGTTCCATTTAGCACCTGAAATGTGGGAAAACAGAGGAACAATTGACTTTCCCAGAGCAACAATTAGATCTTGTTTAGAGGGAAAAAAAATTACTCTCATCATTTAACTCAGCCCACACAAGGTCCTTTATGAACTGTTTTACCACGCTTGGACATTTTAGTCCTAAATCCATTTAAAATCAATTCTAAATAAGCTGATCTAAACTTAATTTCCACTGATATGCAATGGTGTATGTAGCCTTTTGCAATGGCTTAATAAATCCTTTAATTTTATGATGCTGCAATCATGTGTGCAAAAGGAAAATATACAGGGTTTAGGGAATTAGCAGAATTTGAGTCCAAGTCTCTGCTGTACCAGAATTCTGCCAGGACCCACGGGGAGCTGTGTAAACCCAAATCTCTAAAGACTTTCCATGCCATGCTCTGGCACTGGCAGCAGACTGGCATTTATGAACATCTTGGGTTGTTTTTTTGCATAGAGAAGCAACAGCAATGCCTTCCCTCCCTGAAGTGCTGCCTGGCTGGGCAAATCACAGATGGCAAGATTGGTGTGACAAATGCAGGGTGGCCTTGAGACACACGAGCCCTGAAACCCTGAGTGAGCATCCCCAGACATCTCCCACCTTCCTCCCCACTGCTTTAACTGCGAGACCACGCTCTCCCTTCCCAGCCTCTGCACCATCTGCAGAGTCCAGCAGAGCTCAGGAGGTGTCCCAGGCCTTGGGAACAGCTCCCAACATCCCCTGTCCCTGCATGGATCCCTACCTGTGCTCTGTGTGCCCGCTGAGGGCTTGCGACCTTTGCCTTTGGGAACTGGGGGTAGCAACTCCACCTCCTCCTGAGGCATCTGGGCAACCTTCTGCAGAAATATCTTCTCCAGGGCTTGGGCCATGAGGACAATGTCATCTGTGGGCTGCACAAAGAAGAATGTGAGCCTTTGTTGTATCATTCACATATCTGTGAAGACCAGGCTTAGAAAACACTGAGGCCCTTCAAATAAATTATGGTATTCAAACGCTGACAATAAACAGATTAGCTCTTCTCCCTCCTCCTGCCACTCTCCTGCTCTTCTATTCTGCTCTAGCATGCAATAATTACAGCCCCTAAGTGTGCTGCATCCAGAGAATGATCAGGAGTTCAGAAGGAGCCTGATAAACCAGTCTCCAGTGCAGCAGCGTGGAAGCAGCAAACTGGAACGGATGAGCTGTCCTTCCCTGCTTGCCAGCAGGTCCAAGGGAAGAGGCTAAACACACACTCTGTGGCTCAAACTAATTAATTTGTTTGTTTCAGCTGCTCTCCAGTCTGGGTCTATGATGACAAATGACTGGAGAAAACAAAACACAAAGAATTTTAACAACCTAACAAAACAGCAAACGAGCCAAACCCAAAATAATAATAATAAAGCAATTTAAATGTGTGTAAGTATGAACATATTTATGGAGACAGAGTCAAAGAACAGAGTTATGATTCTTGAACTCCTTTCTGCTGCTAACAGAAACTATTCAGTGCCAGACAGTCTAACACACAGCATTAAAGCACCTCAAAACACCTGCAGAGCACTGCATTAAGTGCAGCTCATCCCAGAAAACTCCTAACTGACAATAAAAGGAATAAAAACTTGCTGCATAACCCCAAAACAGAAATCTACCTATAATTAAAAGGCATATTTGCCATTGTAACTAGTCTGGGGGAAGAAAGAGGCAGCACAAAGACAGCTTTGTGCATTTCAAGTAACATGGTTGCAATTAGGGGCATTTCAAATCCTTGCAAGGAGGGCCCAGAGCCGGCCCTGCTCAAAACCTGCACAGTAACAGGGTAGGTGGGTGTTTTCTACAGGCCTTTCTGGGTTTTTTTACCTTGTTATAAATGTAACAGTTTGTAAACATGGTGTTGAAATCCTGCATACATTCACTGGCACTCCAGTAATAGTTGTGCTCCAGGCGCTTCTTGATCGTCCCCATGTCCATGGGGTTTTTAATTATTTTGTGATAATCCTGTTGGAAAACCAGGGAAGATGTGAACAAAACTGAATCAGAAGTCCCCCTAACCCCTGCTTTCTCCTCATCACCCCTTCTAAAAAACAGCCCACTAAATTTTGTGGAAATTGTAAATATATTTCCATTTATTTTCTAATTTGTATAATTTTACTTTTAGCATTATTATGAACCAAAACACACAACCTCCAGTCTGGGAATCAGCATTTCTGCCTCCCTTTTTAAAAGGCTGCCTCTGGCACTCACAGAAGTTTATCAGGCCTGGCTAAAACTATGCTCAAAGTTTCACTCTCTAATTTTAAGAGCATTTTGGCCTTTAAAAGATTTCCACCTGTTAACCCAGTTTCTCCCTGGGCTGGTCTGGAGCACCTGCAGAGGCTGTGATTAGGGGATGCTGTAGGGCTGTGCAGTGTCATTTTCTTGTTCTGGATTAGAGTCTGGCTGCACATGAAGCCACTGGCTGAGCCCAACACCATCCCAGGCACTGATATTCCCCCTCTAAGCAATCCCA